GGTGTTCCATTTGAAAAATCAAAGAAGCCGCTACTTTTTAGTAGAAGCGACAACGCCGCTCCGTCTGAAATATTTTAGGCGTGTAGGTCATATTGACTTATGCATACTGCGAACTTTTCAGGTTGATCCGTTGAATAGTTTGTCAGAAACGGCTAATTAACGCTTATCATGAAAAGCCCTGTATAAAACTAAAGTTATCACATACTGACATATGCCTATTTGTCGTAACAAATCGTTTGATGACCTCAATCTCTTTTGCTTGTCAAAAATATAATTTACACGTTCAAATACTATCAAAGTTTCTTGTTCAAATTCTTTTACTACGGCTTATAAATATTACTTTATTACTGTAGAAAAAGGAAAAAAATATTGAGATGAGTTAGTCATGTTCCTTCTATTGATCTCGATATCTACGAAGTAATCAGAGAAAAATAAAAAAATGAATGGTACACGGATACATCTAATACCAAATCCCGTTTTTCACTTACTCACTTAACCTGTTACTTGTTTATTGCATCGGGCTCAGATAAAGCTTTGATGAAATATTTGAAAATTTGGTATTCTCGGAATACTCAGTATGGGTTTTTATTAATGAGAAGAGTAAAATATATTATATATTCATTTTCGCTTTGGTAACCATTCGCAACACTTTGTCGCCAAAGAACCAGTTTCTATATGTAGGAATTATTATTCATAACAAAAGAAAGAAATAGAGAATCAGAGAATTACTTAATAATCAGTTCTCATTCATCGAATATTCATAAACAATTTCAGCTGATAGATTTCTGGAAAATTACTTTGTGAGAAGCTGAGCAACAAGAGCTGTATACCTGAAACAAATTCAACAATGATAGAGAAATCAACTTGACTCACTTGTTTATAAAAATTATCACACTGGATCCAATGATATCTGTTACACTTTTAAAAGAAAAATGTTTAATACAAAGTGAATGTCCAATCCATGAATTTCACATCTTTATCCAGCAAAGATTAGATATACAAATTTTCCATATCTGGATATCTATTGTTTGTTCTTGCTCGATTAAATTTCAAATTGGTTTGTAGAATTGGTGATTTCATCAATATTTCACAATATCAGTTTCTCCGGCAGGAAATAGGACGAAATTTCGTTTTCTCTAGAGAATAAAAAAACTGGATATCTGTTCTTGATAGATTCAAATTCAAACCTTCTACATTTATGGAAATATTTCCTATGAATGATTTCTGTGTTAGGAATGACACATTAAAAGACCAGACCCCGTTGATTTTCAGCTCGCAATAGTTCGTGTTTTTGAGGATTGTCGTTCATATGGGGACATTAGCGTTAACGAATGAATCCACTTTGCCACCAGTTTGCATTCACATTAAATTATGATTGAGGTGTCATTTCGACCAGAGCAATTAACGATCTGAGCCAAGTTGCGCAAGCAATAGTTTAGATGTAATAAACAAGTTATTTAAAAAAAGAATTCGTTTACGCGAACAAAACTATTGCATTTACTTATTCGAAATTGAAAAGAGAAGGGGCTGAAAGTCATTTGAAAGAATGTAAGACTGATATTTATAGTTTCATCTGAGCGCAAAAATACGGGCAACAACAAAAAATATAATAATAATCTGGCCATCTGGTCAGAGTTTTCAACTCATGGCTGGACGGAGAGCAGCCGATTCCGGATTGGTTTGTCGAGGGGCGGACCGTTCTCATTCCCAAAAGCGGAGATTTGTCGATTCCTAAGAATTACAGACCGATAACATGCTTGAATTCGTGTTATAAGTTGTTTACAAGCATCTTATACACACGAATACTCACCGCAGTTGACCGAGTGTTCGAACGGATATATGAGCAGAGAGGGTCGAAGAGAGGAGTCGCTGGATGTAAAGAGAACCTGCTCATCGATAGATGTGTAACGCAGTACTCGATATGATATAAGCGTAACCTTTCTTTGGCCTGGATCGATTACCGTAAGGCATTTGATACAATATCTCATGAGCTCATCTTGCATTTGCTCAGATGCCTTGCGGTACCCGACAAAATAATAAGATGCATTGAACAAATGATACCACTTTGGCGAACTCACTTCACCACAACATGATCAAGCAAGAGTCCAAACAGGGTGGGTCACTTTCAGAAGGGGTGTATTTCAGGGTGATTCCCTCTGTGCCCTTCTCTTCTGCATCTCATTATTGCCACGTTGCGCTCAGAAATACTCGAGGATATAACTGTGGCCCTCCCGGAAACCGGAGGCAGAAGGTCTCATTTGTTTTATATAGATGATCTTGAACTTTATGCCTCTGGAGAGAAGGATCTCCATCAGTCCTTGAGAATGGTGGAAGAGAACACGCATGCTATCGGTATGAAATTCGAGAAAGACAAATGTGCAATGGTCCATCTAAAAAGAGGACGATGCGGGGACTACGGAGAGGATGTGCAGCTCGTGGATGGAAGCATCCTACACTGAAGAACTCTATACGCGACAAGTATAAGCACAAACTTCGACAGATCTGGTCATCGGAACTGTCGGGGAAGAACAAAGTAGCTGCAACAAATATGCTTGCCGTTCCAATCTTACTCTACTCGTTTGGAGTTGTGAAGTGGACTTGGCGGGAGCTGTATCAACTGTATCAACCCGAAAAATGATGCATCCCAAATCGTCCGTTCCACGGTTGTACTTCCCCCGACAACAGGGTGGCCGTGGACTTTTGAGTTTGGGGTGTCTACATGACAGAATGGAACTGGATATAGTCTGTAAAGTCGTCAGGAGTTCGGATCCGCTTCTCTGCATGGTCCGTGACCATGAGAGAGCAGGAATTGGAGCATTTCTCTTTAAGGCAGCTGCCCGAGCAGCTGATGAACTCGGTATAGTTTTCGACACTGAACGAGGTGAATACAACTCTGTCACCGAGTTGGAAACCGTTCAGCAAAAATCCCATATAAAAGCTGCAAAGATTACCTCACGCCTGTGGAAACACAAGGATAAGCCAATGCATGGGATCTTCTTCGATAACACTGGAGACCTTGGCTTATCAAAGCGCCTGACTTTCGCTTTCCTCAGGTCGAGTGGGCTGATGTCGGAAACTGAGGGGTTCATCATGGCTTGCCAGGATGGTGTCTTCAACACTTCAGTCTACCGCAGTCGTGTGATGGGTATAGAGTTTCCCGACACAAGGTGCAGGGCCTGCCGCGAGGCGCCCGAGACCCTAATGCACTTGCTTTCAGCATGTCCAGCATATGCGGTGTCGGCCTATATCCATCGACATAACGTGGCTAACGCAGCCCAAAGAGTACTATATTACCATCTACGGCACTCTTACGGTATTGACGAGACACCGGTGTTGCTCTACACTCCGGGGGATATTGAATCCGTTGTGGGAACGAGAAGTGTTGAATTTATTGGAACAATTCGTTCTCCACCCTCTGGCTCATACAAACTAATAAGCCTGATGTAGTCCTTCTCGACCACCAGAGCAAGACGATATTTGTCGTGGAGTTTTCAGCTCCTGGCGAGATGAATCTCGTCAGAAAAGAGGAGGAAAAACGGATAAAATATCGAGATTTTCTCTTCGAACTCCGCAGACTCTATACAAACCACTCTGTTGAGATGGTTGTTCTAATTATTGGAGTCCCTGGCGGAATGATGCCCTCTCTACTCACGAATCTTAAAATCATACCGGCCTGCCGTAATAAGGCAGAAACCTTAGCCGGACAGATGCAGAAGGCTGTCATTCTTGGCTCACTGCGCTTGCTCAGGGCACATGATCCTCGGACCCAATGATTACTTACCCCACGGTGTGGGGAGTGGTCGTTGGTTGATAATGCTGGCGGGCCCTCCCGAATGTATCGGGGATTTGGGGATACGGCCTGACTAGCGCACACTTCGGTTAAAAAAATATCTATTCACAGAAAAAAAAACATTTTACATAAAAAATTACAAATGTGAATTAACAGCGGGTACACGGAAGCAATGTGAATATTGCTTGTATGTGTTATGGCCATCCTAACGCTGATAGTGATGAAGAAAAACCTACATGAAGCAATATTATCATATACATCAATTCACAAACATTAACATGAATATATGCTGACATTTTGATAATTTCATTTCATTTATATTAGATATGTATACGCGTACACATATACATACATATTTACACATATATACACACGCATATACACACATATATTATAAAACTGGGGTTTACTTGGGTCAATGTCAGGTAGAAGTCTTAATCGGATGCATTACTGTAAGTCTCTGCCGATAAACAAATTCCAGTTATAACACATAAATAACTAATCTATATACATACATATATTCGTAAACATATATTCACACGTATATACATACAAACATTATCATTTTAACCTATTATATATGAGTGTTGAAAGGAAGGTTTTATTCACGAACAAAATTACTTTTAACACAAATATTATACAAAGTTTTTTTGTACAACTGTCATAATAAAATAAATAGATTTAATATTTCTATAAAAACACATTTTGACATTTCTTGTCAGTTTACTATTTTCATGTTATCGCATTTGCTGTGAAGTGGCCATGCCAGGTGACGCCGAATCACCTGGTTACCATCAAACAGTATTGTTTACAGCTCACACGTTTTATTTAAAGTCACATTTAAAGTTCTTGCTGATGTTTAATGTCTTGCATAATGAAGAATGATATTGAGGAATTATGTGTTCCTGACGATATTGAAGAAGCTGTAAAAAGAGCTTCAATTGAATTGTTACGCTCTTCTGTTATGAATCATCAACGTTTTTTTCTGAAATACTCAAATTATAAATGCTGAGTCAACCCAGTTGGTATAAAAACGTTTGGGAAAATGCCTGCATTTGCATCATTTTTTGGGTTTTTACGTCGAGTTGATACAGCTCCTCTCGCATCCACTTCATCAGTCCAAACGAGTAGAGTAACAGTTCTGATGACTAGATCTGTCGGAGTTTCTGCTGATACTTGCCGCGGAGAGAGTTCTTCACTGCAGTGACCTTCTGCGAGTGGCGTTGTTCCACCCTGAGGTAAATATACCTCTCTTCGGCATTCAGATGCTGTACAATCGTTATCATTATCATTATTATTAGCATCATATTCACTTGAACATTCAATTCCAGAGGTCAGTAAATGAGATGACGGATTCGATTCAAACAACTTTATTAAGTGAAATATTCTAAAACAATTTATTGTTGAGCAATTGTATTGAGATTCATGAACGAACTAGCACTGTTCAGGAAATTATGTATCCTGCTTTTATTATCAGTTCTTACACTTTTCTCAGAAGATGATTCTGACAAAACGGGCTTGATTTTCTTTCTAGTTATCCACACATTTGCCGCAAATTTCATTTCCAGCTTAAGAGCTTCAAAATATGACACCTAGAAAAGAAAAAAGTATTACTCTTGATGAAAGGGAAAATTAAACACTTTAACCACTTGAGAATGGTGGTAGGCTATATTGAAATATCTGACGGAATCTATCTGTCAAATAACCAGTGAAATTGAACCTCTGAAATTGAAAAATATAAGAATCATTGAATATTTCAACTCATAACGAATATTGTATACAGGGTGTAACTGAATAAGTGTAAAACATTTGAGGAGGTGATTCCTCATAGAAAAAAAGATAGGATCTTTCCAGCAGTACTGGATGAACTTCTCTTAAAAATTGAACGTATGCCTCACCATTTAATCGAGGAGGTAAAAAATGGGGCCCAATTAAATCATCCCCAATAACTTCAAGTCACACGTTAAGAGAAAACTGTTCTTGATGGTTAGTTTCGACAAAAGCGTGAGGGTTTTCATCAGCCCATATGTGGTAATTATGAAAATTAATAATCTTGTTCCGAGAAAAACTACATTCGTCTGTGAATTCTATCGTCTTCAGAAAGTCATAATTTCTTCTAATCATCTCCAGCATCTAATTGCAAAATTCAAGACGGTTCGGAAAGTCTCGCGGTAACAGTGCCTGTACTCGTTGCAGATGGTAATGGTATAAGAGTTGTTCCTTTAAAATTCGAAATACCGTCATATTATCAACATTTAGCTGGAAAGCAATCTTTCTAGTACTGGTAGTAGGTTGTTCTTCATTCAAATTAAGTACTGCTTCCTCAAGCTGTGTTGTTCGTACTTCTCGATGGCGACCACAATCCTGCGTTCTTTTGTCGAATGAACCATATTCTCGTAATCGTTGATGAAGTCGAGCAAATATTCTATGTAAAGGATGCTGTCGTTGAGGATACATTTCAGCATATCTTCTAGAAGCTTCTAACCCATTCCCTTGCGATAGACCGTAAACGTAATGCATATCAGTCATTTCCTCATTTGTCTATGCCATTTTAACAAAAAGGGAATTATTAAAGTAACAAATTAAGAACAGAACAACAACACAGAATTGGTATTATTTCAACTTCGAAAATTACACATATCACAAAAAGTTACATTGGAAATGAATTTTAGGGATCGCGTTTTCCACCCCTCACAACCATAGAGTAAACCAAATAAATTACTTGTTGAGTGTCTTTTTGGTTGTACAAAACTTCAGGTTAATTTCAATATTGTAACTTTTTTAGTGCTTGTGAAAAAAATTGCTATACAAATTTTATGTAATCTCTTCAAGGGGCTGTATCTTAACAAGGGATGCTCCAATGAAATTCCTTTATATGAAAGATCCTATCTTTTTTTCGATGAGGAATCACCTCCTTAAATGTTTTACACTTATTCAGTTAGTATTATATGAATATAAATAGAGTTCTATCCCGACACCAAACCGTTATTCTAACAACTCGAAACGTGTTTCAATCACCAAGTCATTATCTTCAAGAGAAATATTGAACTAAATCTACATACAATATTGTACTTATTTATACCATAGGTACCTCTGCTAGGTACCTGCATCTTAATTGACTTAAAAAAATTAATTTCACAATGTTGCCTTATCTACTAGTCAGGTAAATTTGATAACTAAAAGTATCATTTCAACAAGCTATATAGTAAACTATTAGATATTGGTCCATCGTCATTCATAATATTATTTCGTCAGTTACCTGACATTTGTTCTTCTTCAAAGAAAAAGGAGTTATATTTGGAGTCTCCCATCAATTTGAACTGGAGTTATTGTAGTCACTCTGAACCACGATGAGTCATTATATTTGTGTTTGTTTTTACTTGTTAGTAATCGAACCAATTTTTCAATACAGATGAGTTGAACCACTTACATGTTCCTCAACTGAAACATTCCGAACATTCCATAAAAACTCGACCAGCCCAAAGGCCAGACCTATTGATACGCCAACTACCAGTACCAGGAATATACCACGAGTTTTGATCAGATCCAAATCACCTTCTTTCTCATCCTTTCCTTTATTTCGTAACTGAAAAATGAGGACATCTTTAGTTTCTTTCTCGAGTTCATTTCATTTTTGGATACTTTTACGATGGGGAACTATTTATGTTTCGGGAACTGGCAACACTAATGTCAATAGTTGAAATATGGCAACACCATAATATAGTTTGACTTTTTTTAGCATAAACGTACAACATTTTGATGTACAAGTGCTATTTGTTTCGTTTATAGTGGGAAAAAATCGATTTGACCAAAAAAACGGATATTTCAAGAAAAGGTTTTCGTTGGATTATTTTTCACAACTTTCGACGTGGATTATCTCAACAAGAATGTGTCGATGAACTAACTCAGTTCATTATATGGCGATAAAGCACCATTAAAAACCACATTATTTCGCTGGTACAGATAATGCAATTATGGTTGTAGTTCGATCGTCGACGAATTACGTATAGGTCGTCCAAAATCGGTTGTTGTCCCACAAATTATGGATGCAGTTCTAGAACTGGCGAAATTGCCATCTGACATATTGCGATATAGAGGTATCCTTGTACATTAGTTCCACTTCAAAACATTTGATTTTGCACACTTAATTGTAACAAAATATTGTTTTTGCTGGATACCCCTTAACTTAACAATCGCTTAAAAAAGGCTCTCGTCACGGGGGTGTAAGGAAATGATTGAAAAATTCGGTGCTTCAAAATACTCATGGATATATACATATTTGGGTGTAATTGTAGATAATAGAATATTTTTTAAGGAACATGCTTCATATATTATTAAAACAATAGCATTCAAAATCAATTACATAAGTAGGCAATCTAAGCACTTAAACCAATGGTCGCTTTTATTAATTATTCATCAAACAATTTTGGTCAAAATACTGTTATCATTTTTGATAGTTACTCCGATACCAGTAAAAATATCAAAGCGATGGAACAACTAAAACGAACCGCAGCCTTTTCCATATCTTGTGAAGTGCACTTCAATGAATCGATGGAAGTTCCGATCAGTCAAGAACATTTTTTCTTTGTATTAATAATGATAATAATGGGATCAACCCACTTCTGGACCTTACCGAATCAAGCGAGTGTTTTCACAGCTATATGCTATCTGGAAAGCATTACTATACATGGACTTATGTAATTTTCATTCATACATCCTTTGCACAGACTCGCTGAGTTCTATTCAAGCAATTGCAAACTCTTTCAGTAAACATACGCTGGTTCAAAGAATCTTAACACTGATGAGTTGTCTCCAGTCCGAAGGAAAATCTATCGTATTGGTTTAGGTTCCTAGTCATATAGGAATTGACGGTAATGAGAAAGCTGACACTGCAGCAAGAGCTGCAACTGAGAATAATGTCGATCTGAATATAACTGTGAGTCCAAATGACACAAAAAAAATCATAAAAAACTCAATAGTCAACACATGGCAACACGAATGGACAAACAACGATTCAAAACTGAAAGATATCAAATCTGATATTGCAGCCATGAGACTTCCACAAGGGCTAACGAGAAGAGAACAAGTCATAATAACACTACTTAGGATAGGACATACGAACTTAACATCCTCTTATATACTGAGAAGATAAAGACAACCATCCTGCGAAAATTGCCAAACTTTGATGACGGTTAAACACCTTCTCTTAGAATGCCACCAGTATGAAGCCGATCGACAACGATATAACTTATACTACTAACAGAGGACATTATACAGCATACTGCAGACACCAGTATACTAGCGCGTGGCACAAATACAACGATTCACACGTGTCACCAATTTCACCAAAGTCGCTTGTGAGTGGAGAAGCATACGTCCTCTTATATGTAAAGGATAGAACAAAATCGCACCTTTTAATATAACCGAGGAAAAGTTTCTTTGTGCAATTATTATTAATTTTTTGTTAATTTCTTGCATAGTAGAACTTAATATTGTGATTTTATTAACAAATATATTAATTATTTACCAAACAATTTTGGTCAAAATACTGATATCATTTTTTATGGTTACTTCGATACCAGTAAAAATATCAAAGCGATGGAACAACTAAGACGAACCGCAGCCGTTTCTATATCTTGTGAAGTGCACTTCAATGAATTGATAAAGGTTCCGATCAGTCAAGAGAATTTTTAATCTTATCGATTCAACAAAAGAAAATTAATTGAAATGCTCATTGAGAATTTCGAAAAAGTTGGTATTTCTACAAGACAATAACGTGATGATGCTGACGTCTCAATAGTTGAAACAGCAATTGAAAAATCGATAAATAATACTACAATTATCTTTGGTGAAGCACGCACACAAATACTTGATCAACCCACATCCATTTTTTTTAAGAAACCAGGGAAAACAATGTTGAAACAAAAATATACTCGACTGAGAGCCTCAACAAGTATCCACATTACAAGAAAAATATTCTGTTTCTACATGCTATGACCAGATGTTACACAACTTCAACACTTTTTGAGAAAGGAAAAATTAAAGTCATGAAGATGTTTGAAAAAAGATCCGATTCACACAATTCTGCAGAAATATTCCAACAATAAAATTGCGCTATAGAGATGTCCTTGTCAATGCTGGAATACATTTCCTACTAGCAATGTACGGTGCTCCAAAATCAGCAAATTCAATTGACAATTACAGATACTGCAGCTTTGCTAAACTAACAAGACAGAGCACAGCTGTGAAATTTCAATTATTAGCACCCACTTCGTCAGTAGCTCAACATCATATTTATCGAGTCTGTTATCAAATACAAACCTGGCTAGGAAGAGAAATTGATCCAGAAGAGCGGGGTTGGGAGTTGAAAAATGATATATTACAACCATTAACAACTTCATTGCCACCAGCACCCGATGATCTACTAAACACAATCTTTTGTAATTGTACAAAAGGTTGTGGCGGCAAATGTGGATGTAAAAAAATTGGATCGAGATGTTATAAGGCTTGTGGACATCGTCGTATTCAGTCATGCTTAAACGCAGAGTCCACTAGTGAAGAAAATGATGAAGACGTTGATTTGCATACAGCAATAAGTCCACTCGATGTTTTGTCAGCAACTCTTGATGATGTTGAAATTAAGAATATCGACGACGAATGAATATAAAAGAAAATCATATACAAACATTTTTTCCCCTATTTTTCAACGTACAAATAAAAAATTATTGAGCATAAAATAAAAAAAAACCTTATATTACAGTTCATGGATTATGCCTACGGGTGAAATCATGTAAAGAAACGCGCCTTGCATTCTACCTCAAAGATGGTGCGGAAACAAGTGCGTCATTATAATGTAGTCGCTTTCTCAGCGCTCTAGTCCAAGAACAGTTGACTTTACAGAAAAATGCGATGAACATTTTTTGTAGATCATTGTATGAGGAATAATTTTTATAATGACTTTTATTGACCTCCGAGCCATAGGTCGCGAGATATTCCCGAAAAACTGATTTTCGTGACCTTTTGACCTTTATAACTTTTTTAGCCGGCACGATATCAATGTAGATTTTTCACATCTTCATTAAAACGTCATAGTAAAAGTGTATACCAAAATTCAGCTCAGTAGAAATTTTTCCGCAGATAAAACCTTAAATGACTGGACTATATGAGCCGGAAACAAATCAGCAATCGACCGTGTGAGTATTCTAGGGCGAGCTGAATCCAAGAAAAGTTCTTCGTGGAAGAGGCACATCAAAGCAAATGGTCGCCTGTTTCTTTAGCCAAATGGGTCATGTGACCACTATTCCCCTTGAGCAACGTAGAACAGTCAATTTTGAGTGGTACACGACCATTTGTTTTCCGGAAGTCTTCGAGGAAATTCGCAAAACTAACCGGCGAAGACGAATCATTCTCCATCATGGCAGTTGTCAAACAGGTGAATTTTTGAGCAATCAAAACATCTAATTGATCCTCCGTACAGTCCTGATTTGGCATCAAATGATTTTTTGTTCTCGAATATCGCCGAAGAAGCAGGGAATCAATCAATTAGAAAAATATTTTCTAATGATTTCACAGACAATATAAATTGTAATAGTTATTGAGAAATTGAAATGAAAAAAAAAACCATTCCAATTTATGTTAATAATTCGAAAACTATTGAAATAAATGACAAAGAAAGAGGGGGAAATGAACAACGAAAAGTCCCAACTACGAGAGCTCTATCCCTATTACTTATAATTCTATTTTAACGCTGAAAAAAGTGCCCCGTGTACGCCCGTTACGGCATCGGCACATCGCCCCTAGAGATAGTATACAACATGATGTGTTTTATTGTATCAAACTAGCAGACCTGAGACCAACCTTTTATAGCCTTAGTATTGATAAATGTTATGTTGAGTAAGTTATCAGCTCTGTTATATCAATTTTTTCATAATGTCAGGTGTTGACACTTGGCATATTCATGCTCAGTAGTAGATTTTGTTTAAAAAATACAATTGGTGTATATGAATACGGTAAAAAATATATCTTCAAGGTAAACATCACCTACATGGGAATTTCCACAATGAAAATCATTTCATAATTATTATACAATGTGAGTTGAGTCGAAAGGCAAACAGGAGGTCTGCTGCAAAAACAGTGGACCTGGCAACGCGGAACAAGGCGCTTCTCTCGTGCGATTTCTTCATCATCTGCAGTTAATTGCAATATGCTTCTACTGTGATATAACATTTATTCATGCGCTCACATTAACATATCACACACCTAACCTAACAAACCGAACGTTGTCGATCTGGCTTCAATAGCATCACTGGTTGCCTGCAGCAGAGGTTGCGCAGTAAGCGCTTCTCGCCATAGGTTCAGCCTCAATTGACCCATTCCTACTTTGAGGTTTACACCAGCGGTGCGCAATCGTTACATAGCCATTAATGCAACCTCCTTTACGTACAGGTTCAGAGGGGTCAGACCGGTAATTAATTCTATTGCCGCGGTTGATGTTGTTCTCATGGCTCCTGTGATGTTCAAACAAGCGAGTCGCTGTATTTGATATAATTTTTGGATGTTCGTTGCTTGTAGAACTTTCGGTCCCCATGCAATGGCTTCGTACGTTAACGTAGGTCTTATTATTGCACTGTAGATCCAGGTGATCACACGGGATGGAAGACCCCATGCGCGTCCTACAGTTCTCCGACATTGCTCATAAGCCACATATGCTCTTTTTGCTGTACTCTGTAGGTGAGGGTTCCATGTTAGCTTCCTATCGAGGGTAGTACCAAGGTATTTCATCTCTTCAGAGAAGTTTAGTTTGCTTTTGAAGATTTCGGGAGGTTTTAAGCCCGATAAACTGCGCTCTATCGCACAGTGTGTTCACAAATTTGCCGGTCTGCAAGATAACTATGTCATCTGCATATGCAATTGGGTAGAATCCATTATTGTTGAGGTGATTGATCAGGGTATCCACAGCTTTCATTGATCTCTACAACTTTATTTTCGAAACATTGTTTTGTATCTCTAATAGGAAATCCGCTATCATCCACCCACCTATCGTTTATACACCCTGTATGATTTTATTATTCATTAGTAATCAGATTTCTGGATGAGTAAAATGTGAGTTACCCTACTTTTACTTACTTCTTCACAAGAAGGTTCTTTCCTAACTTCCTTCCACCACTTCTGTTTTAGAGCTGTCAGATTTCCGACTTCTTGTAATTTCAGTACTGCCTTATTGATAGCTCCTCTATAAGGCGCATCTGGAATATTTTGGAATCAATATCTTTGAGAATGATTAGATTTTTGACATTCAAAAAGAATGAGAATAAATAAATGAATAAAGATGTTTATTTATGTGACTTTCCACTAAGGTAAGTCGAACAAATCTTCGGATGTTAGAAAATCTACCTTAACCATTACTTTCAAATACTTCTGGGCACTCTCTAACTTCAGTGGCGTTATGAAATTGGTAAGTATTGTATTTTCGAAAGAATATAAAACACGTACCTATCCTTTTTACCCTGCAAGTTCTGATCCTAATAACTGAAAACCAATCGGCTTACTTCCATCATCATGTGGGTTGTAGACTCCTGAACATTCCAGAGTGTATGTTAAACCGATTGCATATGGAGCAGATGCTTTAAAAAATATCTTGGCCAGCTAAATATTGACGGAAAATAATTCCCACATTCATAAAAAAATTGCAATATGCTTCTACTGTGATATAACATTTATTCATGCGCTCACATTAACATATCACACACCTAACCTAACGAACCGAACGTTGTCGATTTGTCGATAATTCCAGACATTCGCATAGGACATGCCTGACAGTTTCATCTTTCTGTTCACACATCTTGCATAGAGGTGTGTCCACTAGCTCTATATTGTGGAGGTGTTTCCTTAGCTGACATTGGCCAGTCAGAAATCCTACTGTTAAGCCTAGATTTTTCCTAGTCAACGCCAGATATATCTTCGGTGCCAGCTTCCCAGGGACGGCCAGGGTGATCCTAGCAAGACTGTATCCTTTGCATTCATCCAATCTTTTTAGGGATTGAGCATGGATGTGACGTTTGGCTGGTTCCGCAATTGTCGAAGTCATCAGACCGTAGGTGCCACTGGGTCCTAAAATTTTTAGTCAAGCCGCTTCCTTGACTAAAGAGTCGGCAATGCGATTACCTTCACTCCTGTCGTGCCCTTCAACCCATCTCAGGATGATGTTATCATCTACCGAGGCTATGGCTGAATCTTGGTGGCACTCTAGTACCAGCCCTGAGGTAACACGTTGTCTGATCAAGGCTAATAGGGCTTGTCTGCTATTAGTGCAGATTGTTATGTTTTTACCAGTAATTCCTTTCCTGGTACCAGCCAATTCTGTTTGAACCACGCTGGTATTTTTCCATTCCCCACTTATTCTTTAGGCTCAGTGATCTGGAGCCTTCTTTGGTTTTTGAGCTGTTTGTATATATGCGTATTGCATTTGTAGCATCTGACTCAGTGTTCTGATCTATTTGTATTCTGTAGGGTTAATTAAACACAAACCTGGCTTCAATAGCATCACTGGTTGCCTGCAGCAGAGGTTGCGCAGTAAGCGCTTCTCGCTTCAGCCTCAATTGACCCATTACTACTTTGAGGTTTACACCAGCCGTGCGCAATCGTTACATGACCATTAATGCAACCTCCTTTACGTACAGGTTCAGAGGGGTCAGACCGGTAATTATTTCTATTGCCGCGGTTGATGTTGTTCTCATGGCTCCTATGATGTTTAAACAAGCGAGTCGCTGTATTTGATATAATTTTTAGATGTTCGTAGCTTGTAGAACTTTCGGTCCCCATGCAATGGCTTTGTACGTTAACGTAGGTCTTATTATTGAACTGTAGATCCAGGTGAACCACACGGGGTGAAAGACCCCATGCGCGTCCTACTGTTCTCCGACATTGCTCATAAGCCACATATGCTCTTTTTGCTGTACTCTGTAGGTGAGGGTTCCATGTTAGCTTCCTATCGAGGGTAGTACCAAGGTATTTCATCTCTTCAGAGAAGTTTAGTTTGCTTTTGAAGATTTCGGGAGGTTTTAAGCCCGATAAACTGCGCTCTATCGCACAGTGTGTTCACAAATTTGCCGGTCTGCAAGATAACTATGTCATCTGCATATGCAATTGGGTAGAATCCATTATTGTTGAGGTGATTGATCAGGGTATCCACAGCTTTCATTGATCTCTACAACTTTATTTTCGAAACATTGTTTTGTATCTCTAATAGGAAATCCGCTATCATCCACCCACCTATCGTTTATACACCCTGTATGAACTTATTATTCATTAGTAATCAGATTTCTGGATGAGTAAACCGTAAGTTACCCTACTTTCACTTACTTCTTCACAAGAAGGTTCTTTCCTAACTTCCTTCCACCACTTCTGTTTTAGAGCTGTCAGATTTCCGACTTCTTGTAATTTCAGTACTGCCTTATTGATAGCTCCTCTATAAGGCGCATCTGGAATATTTTGGAATCAATATCTTTGAGAATGATTAAATTTTTGACATTTAAAAGGAATGAGAATAAATAAATGAATGAAGATGTTTATTTATATGACTTTCAACTAAGGTGAGTCGAACAAATCTTCGGATGTTAGAAAATCTACCTTAACCATTACTTTCAAATACTTCATCTCCCGGGGCAGAAATTTTGCGACGGCGATTGAAAATTGGTTTCTGGGCACTCTCTAACTTCAGTGGCGTTATGAAATTGGTATTGTATTTTCGAAAGAATATAAAACACGTATCCTTTTTACCCTGCAAGTTCTGATCCTAATAACTGAAAACCAATCGGCTTACTTCCATCATCATGTGGGTTGTAGACTCCTGAACATTCCAGAGGGTATGTTAAACCGATTGCATATGGAGCAGATGCTTTAAAAAATATCTTGGCCAGCTAAATATTGACGGAAAATAATTCCCACATTCATAAAACACTTCAGTTTTTATTGAGACCAATAATCTATCTACATATTGTTCATTGAAAAGTAAGTTATTAGTAGAATTTAGGTCTGACAAGAGTGTGCCGCATATTTTGCTTTGAACTATAGTTTTTTCAAGCACTACAGGAAAATCCTCAAGGAAAATCCTCGAGACGCTAAAAATAGTTCTTGAACAGTAAAGTTCGAGGTGTACTGAGTTGAACCTCAAAACGATGAGCAGCCACAGTTCGTCACGTATTTCTGATACATACCGCTCTAGGAGGAATCAAATGTGCCAAGTCACTCGAACACTTCACGTGAAAGTATATATAAAAGAGAGACAAATCTCCAACCTTTCTCCGATGTTCAAGGCTATCAAGGAGCACGTGATGTCCGCGTCTCCAATCAGTCGGATGGCTCTTCTCTGGATGGAATCCAGCAGCTTCAGGGTATGCTTATGGGCGGAGCTCAATACATGAAAACAATACTCCAAAGAAGGTATGGTCTGAGCTTCATAAGGCATCAAAAGTTGCTGAGGTGTGTACAGTTTTCTGTGTACAGTGGCCATTATTATATTGTGCAAAAAAATTCGCCATTTTGAAATACTCAAACGCGTCAGATTAAGATATACAGTGTCACCATTTAAGTGCGCACCATATGGGAAACTTTTTTTTGGAAAAGTTTCAATGAAGTTTAACTTCGGCACTTGTTTTATTTTTACTTATACGGACATTTTTAGAGAGAAATTAAAAATGTGCTATGAAAATTTTAACATGACTGGTGCACTTTTTCAATCACTTTGACCCATTGAACGTCAGTGGGCCCAAATGTGATTCTTCTGGAACTTCCGATGTAACTGCGAAAAACCTTCTCGCTTATTCTAAGAGCCTCCACGTGTTGTGGATGATCCGCCGACTGCTGATCAGGTGGAATCCTTCTGGAAGGATATCTATGAACACCCGCAGCCACTCAACTTAGACACTCTAGCCCTAGCGCAGTTCGAAGCTTTACACAGAGAGCTTCGACGGCCTGAGCTCACTAACTGCGCAACCCGATAACCCCGGATGACTTTCGAAGAGCCCCAAATGGGCTGACCACTCATTGGTGGAAAAAACTAACAATCACCCACCCCATCTGGCCGGAGTTTTCAACTTATGTTTTATATGGATGATCTTGAACTTTATGCCTCTGGAGAGAAGAATCTCCATGAGTCCTTGAGGGTGATGTAATACACAAATGATATCGGTATGAAATTCGGGATAGACTAATGTGCAATGGTCCATCTCAAAAGAGGACGACGCTAGGACTACGAAGAGGATGTGAAGCATCGTAGATGGAAGCATCCTACGCCATTTGGATGCCGGAGAGACGTATACTTACCTCGGGGTGGAACAACGGCACTCACAAGAGGTCATGACAATGAACTCTCTCCGCGACAAGTATCAGCACAAAGATCTGGTCATTGGAACTGTCGGGGAAGAGCAAAGTAGCTGCAACAAATATTCTTGCCGTTCCAGTTTTACTCTACCCGTTTGGAGTAGTGAAGTGGACTCGGGAGGAGCTGAGAAATGATGCATCCTTATAGGAGTTTGCATCCCAAATCGTCCGTTCCACGGTTGTACTTCCCCCGACAACAGGGAGGCCATGGACTTTTGAGTTTGGAGTGTCTACATGACAGAATGGTACTGGATGTTGCCTGTAAAGTCGTCAGGGGTTCGGATCCCCTTCTCTGCATGGTCCGTGACCATGGATAAGCGCTTGACGTTCGTTTTCCTCAGGTCGAGTGGGCTGAAGTCGTAATCTGAGGGGTTCATCATGGCTTGCCAGGATGGTGTCTTCAACACCTTAGTCTACTGCAGTCGCGTGATGGGTATAGATGTTCTTGACACAAGGTGCAGGGCCTGCCGCGAGGCGCCCGAGACCCTAATGCACTTGCTATCAGCATGTCCAGCATATGCAGTTTCGACCTATAACCATCGATAAAACGCGACCCTAATAGTGCTATATTACCATATACGGTACTCTTACGGTATTGACGAGACACCGATGTTGCCCTATGCTCCGGGGGATTTTGAATCCGTTGTGGGGAACGAGAAGTGCCGAATTTATGGGAACTATTCGTTCCCCACCCTCAGGCTAATACAAGCTAATGAGCCTGATGTAGTCCTTCTCGACCACCAGAGCAAAACGATATTTGTCGTGGAGTTTTCAGCTCCTGGCGACACAAATATCGTCAGAAAAGAAGAGGAAAAACGGATAAAATATCGGGATTTTCTCTTCGAACTCCGCAGACTCTATCCAGATCACTCTGTAAAGATGGTTGTTCTGATTATTGGAGTCCTTGGTGGAATGATGCCCTCTCTACTGTCGAAACTTAAAATCATACCGGCTTGCCACACTAAGGCAGAAATCTTAGCCGCACAAATGCAGAAGGCTGTCATTCTTGGCTCACTGCGTTTGCTTAGGGCACATGATTCTCGGACCCAATGATTACTTACACCACGGTGTGGGGAATGGTCATTGGCGGCATGCTGGCGCGCCCTCCCGAATGTATGGGGCTTCGGGGGATTAGGTCTGACCAGCGCACAACACGGTAAATAATAATAATAATAATGGTCTTCTTTGGGTGAAATAGAATATAACAACCAAGAGGCGAAGTTCAATACGGCAGTGCAGAATACGACAGGTTTGTTCCACCACTCAACCTCCATGAGAATAGTTATCATTGATTGTAATAATTTGCATCTGTTTCGTAAGATCGCTCTTTGGCCATTGCAATATAATCCCATCAACGCCGTATAAACGAAGTTTATGGATCGAGAGTTCATGATTAACTTTGCCGAAAGCTTTGAAAATAATAGTGTTCAAAGAACCATTTTATGAATCCTTTTCCAGAATATCCAACAAAAAAATCAACGTATGTAATCAGTCCCAGTTCCGCTGACTTTTTGGATGTAAACCCGAATTGTTGGGTTCCTATTATTGGAGAGCAGTCAGATAATCAGAAATGATGCTCTCAAAAACGCTAAGAACAGAAATGAGACAATAATTACTGATGTCATATTTTCGCCATGATTTATATATTGAGCTATCATGAGAGGTTTTTCAGTAGTCCGGAAAGTTGTCTAATGTTAAAGAATCATTGAACATATAGAAATCAAATATACTAAAACATTTGATATGTTCCATTTCATCTAATTACCAATTGAATATTTGATAGAAGTATATGAAAATCCTACTTACTCATAGGCATTGCAATTCCATAGCTCTTACTATCTAGCCAGCCACCAACTTGCTTCAGCTTACATTCTTCTTCTATCTCATATTCTATCTGAGTAGATTCCATCAAAAATGCATATAATCCGTTCTTTGTTGTGAGAACTCTGAGAACCCCATCTTTATTATCTTTCTCCAAGACACTAGGTCTCTGTGACTTCATATTTATATACATTCTCGACAGAATAGAGTCATTAGATTCTCTCAAGAAATTTTCTGTTGAACCACCTTCTAACATTCCATACTTGATTTTATTCTGTTTTGCCAAATCTTCGGCATTTTTGATAGGTGGATCCATCTTATCTTTTGTCAAGAATGCGGTTAGATTAGCGATATACGAATTAGTAATGATTAGAGCAAAAAACCACCACATGGCTAAAGCCATTCTAGATGACCATCCTCTGGAAAAAATATAAATATTACTCATTGTAGCACATATTGTTCAAGGCAGGTATTGAGACATAAAACTTAGAAAGATGATAAAGTGTTTGTACAAGATAGAAACTATTTCAGTAATAATAATGATTTATTTTCGCAAGAAACATAGCGAGGAAACAACAGTATTTCAAAAACTAACCGTAACAACGGCTTTGGCAGCGTGAAGTTGCTTTTGGGCTGACATTTTGTTGCTGTGTTGCTGTTTCCAGAATGGAAATACGAGAAAAAATTGCAAGAAAGCTCTCCTAGGGCGCTGGGGGATTCGAGGGTATCATCTTGCGGAAGTTATTCAAAAACCACTACTTGTGGCAGTCAGCGGGGTCTTCCTAACATCAGTCTACAGGGAAACTGCAGTTGCTAAGAGGCTCACTAGCAACTTCAAAATCGATTTTTGTAACATCAGAAGACCCAACGTAAATATAAACTCAGTGCACCAACATCTTAAAACAAATAGTCCTCTTACTCTTGCACTCAGAAACCAAAGTCAGTGCTTCAACAAACTCCGTTAGATTTCTATATCCCGGCTATGATTTCCATTCCTGATTCAGACGTAACTTTGGAATTTTTCTTTTTCCCAGTAGCGATCTCTCCTGTCAACGAGAGGCAATGCTGGATCCCCTAAACTTTGATGTTTTGTGGTTCAAAATAATATCACAGAAGATCAAAAAATTTATATGCTGCGTTTATAGACCACCAAGTGATACACTATCACAAGAGCGTCCGCCTCCGGAAAGGATTTCAGCTCTCCGATCCTTCCCGGCAAATAACGGTCGGTACGTGCTGTAACGGACTGGCCAAGTGAGCGCGTCGTCGGCCAGCTCTTGCCAGCATCAATTTGTCCAAACGTGCTCTAGAATATCCAGAAATTCTGAAAATTTGCCTGGAGTCATTCGGAAGCTGGGAAAATTTCTCCTCTTCTTCTTTCAGGTTTATCTAAAGAAATAAAATGAATACGTTCAAGCCAGTCTTGAATATACCTACACAGTAGGTTGAATAGACTGACGCCTATCAGAAAACAACTACTACTCCCCTGGCTAATATCACGAAGGGCGTTGGATTATATCCGACAGGAATCAGTGCAGGAATCTTCACAGAAAATTTCCTGCATATGCAATGGGCCATACAACTGAAAGAGTCGACCTTCAATTTTGGAACTGGCATACTTGCAGACCGGTTTTGGGCTCATTAGCCACTCATCAGTGCAAGATAGTGACCACTTTCTGTTTTGCTGTTCCATCAGTTGACAGCACAGTGTCAGACGGTACCTATGAAAATGGACGGGGAAAAATTGAGTGGTTTGTTAAGACAGGCTTTAGAATATCCAGAAGTTCTGAAAATTTGCCTGGAGTCATTCGGAAATACTGGAAAAATGTCTCTTCGTCTTCTTTTAGATCATTCAAAAGATGATGAAACTGTCCCAGATTTGCCCTCTTTTGATTAATGGGATGGACTCACAACATTCTTTTTTGTGACTATTTTTTTCTACATTCAATAATGCGGCCACTATAATGACGACTTTTTCGTCAGAAATGCTAGTGATAGACATGTTTGTCACCGCTCGATTTCGAGTGAAATTCTCTTGAAATCGAACAAACATTACCTTCAGTATGCTGGTTGTAGCTGGACAAGTGGCCGATGCTCCTACCCGTAGCCATTAGTCGACGGACAGCGCCGTATTGTGCTGTGCCGGACAAGTGTCCGGCACACCACAGCACAGCGCAGTGTTGACCAAAAACAAGAACGTCTTAATGATTCTGAGCAATGTTTGGTCATGTTTGAACATAATGAACCGAAATTTTTGCGTCCATATGAGACAGTGGATAAAACATGTATCCATCACTTCACTCCGAAATCAAAACGACTTTATTTGAGTGGAAAGCAACTGGTGGACCTCTTCCGAAGCGCCCGAAAGCACAACAATTGGTTGGAAAGTTTATGGATTTGGTATTTTGAGACGTGCTTGGTGAAATATCAATCGACTATCTTGAGAAAGGAAATACCATCGACAGTGAATATTATATAGCGTTATCGGAGCGTTTGAAGGCTGAAATTGCAAAAAGTGACCCCATTTGAAGAAAACAAAAGTGCTGCGTTATCAAAACAGTGTTCAGTGTTAGAAACAATGAAAACGATGGCAAATTCGCATGAAATGCAATAAAAGAAATTAAAATCATGTGGTTACCAATATTCGATAAAATACACTCAAACACTAAAATGTAATGCAAAACGTGATGAAATGTAGAGAACGACAAAAAACTATGGATGTTAACGAAGTAGATTTTCAAAATGTTCACCGCGAGCGTCTTGGCAACTTCCCAATCACAAATAAAACTGTCTGTTAACATTATTTAACATATCAAGCGTTACCAACCTAATCTAAACCTAATAGGTCTTTTGAATCATTAAAATCTGTAAGTTAAGTTCTGTACACATTGCTCTTTACATATCTCCATTAAAGGAAACTAATGATGAAAGATCAGGTAATCGCGCTGGCCATTCAATCGATCTTCGCCTTCCTATCCACCATAACTGGCTTGATCTATACCATGCTAGTAAACAGAACTGCAACTATGACTCTTCAAGGCGAGCTTTCAGGTTCAGGGTCACCAGGGGCTGCCCTCAAGGTGAGGTACTATCTCCCCTCCTTCTCTGGTCGCTCCTGGTGGATAGTCTGCTTGATGGCCCTCGACAGAAGAAAAGTTGATCTGCAAGCTTATGTAGATGACCTTGTCATCCTGACAAGGTCCACGTTGGGAAAGGTAGCTTGTAATATCCTCCAAAGCGCGTTAGACGTTGTTCACAGTTGGTGCCTGAGGAAGCAGATGTTTGTCAACCCCAGTAAAACTGTGTCAATCCTCTTCACCAAGAGAAGAAAATTGGACGATGCAACTCCACTTTCCCTCAATGGTGTGGTCATTCCATTTGGAACGGAGGTGAAATATTTCGGCATTGCCCTTGATAAAAGACTCACCTGGAACGCTCACTTGGAAAAAGGTTCATACAAAGCCAGACTGTCTCTAAAGACATGTCGAAGGATTTGTGGTTAAACATGGGGTTTAGGTCCCAAACAAATCCATTGGATTTATGTGATGATTGTCAGACCAATGATCACGTATGGTGCAATTGCTTGGCGGCCGAAGGCTTTACAGAAAACGGCCCAAGCGAAGCTCTCTGGCTCACAGAGACAGCCTTGTCTGGCTGTCAGTGGTGCCATCAGTACCACACCGTAACAGATTGTCTCTGGTCTGGATTCCTGGCCATACTGGCCTGGAAGGCAATGAAGCTGCTGACTCTCTTACAAAGGAGGGTGCTGCAAGCGGCTTCGTTGGACCACAACCTGTCATTGGCATCGCTTTGGGCTTTGCCAAACAAATACTCAACACCTGGATGGCAAGAAGAGTTATGGACTTCTGGCAGAATCTTCCAGGATTGGTTCACTCCAATGCGTTTATTCACCCTTCGAAGCTTGATTCCAAACAGTTGTTGGACTACAGTAGGCATGAACTACGATGTCTAACAGGCCTTCTTACAGGTCACTGTCATTTGAATCATCACATGCAGAGACTTGGACTGTCGGAAGACAGTGTGTGTTGCCTCTGTCTGGAAAATGATGAAACTGCAGAGCATATACTTTGTGCCTGCCCCGCTGGGGACCGAATCAGGTTCTTAGATTTCGGCAGATCCGTACTCTCACCATCTGACCTGAAAGACCAATCACCATACAAACTAATCGGCTTCGTTGAGAAGCTGGGTTTATTTGGCCGAGTGTGAATAGGTGTGAGCCACAATAAACCCTTATGGGTAGACCTACCTACCTACCTACCCTATCCACCGATTGGGAAATATTGTATCGAGGTATTGCCGAACATTAACTTGGTAATGTGGTGGTGCTCCATCCTGCTGAAACCATATCGTATTGACTGGAACTTGAGGGTTTTTTGCATCAGGATATAAATTTGCCGAATTTGGAATGACATCATTTTGAAGTTGTGCCAAATAAGTACCAAGTTGCCCTCAATGGAAAAGACTAATGATACGGTTTCCAACAATTCCTGCCCAAACATTAACCTATTGAGTGTATTGTATTGTGTATTGCGTGTATTCTTCTCTCATCCAGTGAGGATTTTCCGTTGACCAGTAGTGGCAATTTTGCCGATTAGCATGACCGTTAAGAAACACGTAAACTCATCAGAAAACATAACGTCTTCTGATTGGATGATATTGTTATCCAACATGTACATCATTTGCCCACAAAAATAAGTTTTTCTATCAAAATCGTCCTCCACGAGCTCCTGAGTAGGTATTATTTCATAGGGATGCATTTTATTTTCTTTTGATATAGTTACTATCGATGTATGGCTAACATTGAATGTAGCGAATACCTATCTACTCGATGTATGTGGTTTTTCCTCAAACTCAAGCATCACATCTAATTTGAGTTTATCACTCATTTCATTGGCAGCTGCTTTTTCCATCTGCCCCACATGATCAAGCTCGCGAAACTGCTTATGTGTTTTGTTTATTGTTCCTTGAGATATGGGCGGTAAATTAGAAAATTTCTCATGAAATAGGCAAGCTACTTCCTGTTATATTCGTGTTTTATCTCCGTAACCAATTATTTGTAATACTTTTATTTTATGCATTTCCGTCAATCTATCCATTTGTCAGACTTGAAGTTAACAAACTTCAAACTTAAATTGAAATACTGACAATTAATGTTGTAACATACAAAACAAATTGACAAGGCGTTTCAAACTAACGTTGCCACTGAAATTATTTACAGTTTTTCAAAGGATACCATCTAAAAACAACATTGCAATGATTTTTCTCACTTTGTTATTATCAATACCTCAACATGAAAGTTTTGAGTATATGGCAATAAATTTTGAGTGTATTTTATCGAATTTCGTAACCACATGATTTTAATTTATTAAATCTCAATTGTTACAATAAACTTGGAAGCGATAACATTTTTGAATAGAGAATGAAGATACCTTTCAAACGATATATCACAAGCATATACTTCTCATTTGAAAAATTGAGGATTGTACCTGTCATTCGACTGGGGTTGGAGGTAGGGGTAGCATTTGTCCGTTGAAATATGTTAAATTATAATTTGAATCCGGCGTGTTTTTGTTAAAAATATGTTGAAATATGTACCGTAACCGAAATAATGAATTTATTCCATTGAGCTTTTACACACTGTATAATTGTTGCATAATCAGAAGATAATTCAACTGCTCCGCTCAGAGGTGAATTCGTTAACAAATTGTAGAATGGTTCGATGTACTAGTCAAACTGATGAAATTACTGTGTAATGAAACGCCTCTGCGTATAAAATTTTCAGTGTGAAATTTGAATTACTATCAACATGGATTATATTGGAGTCATATATTTTGATATTTTTCTATTCTTCATCCATAACATTAATCAACTTACTTTGGCAGAATATCACAACCTTGGTTCATTATAGCACCCAGAGTAGCCCAATGGCAATTTTTGATATCCCAAATATTTTCAAGTTCAGAAGGATGTTCTTCACACGGATGCGGATTTTCCCAGTCACCAGGAGTCATTCTAAAAATATTTTAATTTACAATACACAGGACAGTAAGTAAGAAAAATCTCCCTTGTTCTATTTTACTATGGTTTCATATCTTTTTCTTCAGTGAGAGTTTTTCAATAAATATGATTAGACAAAAATGATGATAAATGTTTTCTACTAGTATGTCCTCCATGGAGCCGTTGATTAGTCTGGACAAATTTTATGAACTTCAATAAGACCATTTCGAAACAAATAATATCTAGCATTAGGAAAGGTTTCTTGACGTGGTTGAAACTTACTACGAATTGCTGCTTGTAACAATAACTTGATGCATTGCACCAAAAAAATAATTCGTAGCCAATGTAGGTACTGTTATGATGTATGAATATTCATATGTTTAGACTTCAGAAAAGTTCAGGTATTGATAAAAAAATAAGGTGAATGCCAAATTTCGCGGGCTATGCACATTCAATTAGCGATAGATGAAATTAATTAAATTAAATAAATAAATGTTTTTCAGGAAAACTGAAAATCTGAAGGGTACAGCCTATTATATGAATTTCTGTTCAATCAATAACTCACTGTGTGAATGAAAAACGTAAAGTTGATACTAATCTGTTTCACATTATTTTCTATAAGAAAATAGTTGATCTATGATTTGTCAAATTTTATTTCCTCTATCAAATATTTGAAACTTTTTTTTAAGGAAAAACGTTCTCAGGAAGTATATTCCACATAAACGCAGTTCTCCAGACGAAAGAGCGCTTAAACAGTAAGGTTCTAGGTATACTGAGTTGAACCTCAAAAGGATGAGCAGCCACAGTCCGTCGCGAATTTCTGATATGCACCACTCTTGGTACATCTCCAACCTTCCTCCAACTTTTGTTCGATGTTCCATGCTATCAAGATTGCACGTGATGTTGGCGTCTCCAATCAGGCGGATGGCTCTTTTCTGGATGGAATCCAGCAACTTCAAGGTATGTTTGGGAGCAGAGCTCCATACATGAGAACAATACTCCAAAGAAGGTCTCATATGAGCTTCACAAAGCATCAAAAGTTGCTGGGGTGTGTAGTTTTCTGGTTCGGAACAGTGCTCCAAGCTTTTGAGAAGAAGCCTTTGCAATTTCAGCGACATAATTGTGCCAAGTCATATTGGTATCCATTTTAACCCCCAACAAACTCATCGAAACAGAAAACGAAATTGTCTGACCCGACATCATTATATTCGGTTCGGAGATTTTTATCTTCTTGGAGAAAACTGATGCCTGGGTTTTTGTGGCATTGAATTGAACCTGGTTACTTTTACCCCAACTCGAAATCACTTCTGGCTCCTCATTAAGATATGCAACCTCCTATTGCCGGTGAAGATGTGCCTCCGTAGCCGATGTCCTGGAATCCAAATGGAATGACGAGACAAGTGTGTTGTTGTCTTCAGCAAAGCAATATATTGTATTCTTCGTTTTTCCAATAAGTCGTTGATATACAATAAAAAGAGGGGTGGACACAATATTGATCTCTGGGGAACACCAGCGTTGATGGTGAAATATTCGAGAGATATCCATCGACGACTTCTTGCAGGGAACGTTCTTTCAGGAAGCTGGAAAGCCATACACAAAAATGATCCGACAAGCCATAGTCTTGCAGTTTGGCCAGCAAACCCTCATTCCACACACGATCAAAGGCCTTAGAAATATCAAGCGCAATAGCTCTTGATTCTCCATGTTTCTTGATTGCGTCATTCCAAATATGGGTAACATACTGTTGATCTTTGTTTCCGAAAGCCATACTGATGGTCGCTCAAGATGTTGAAGTCTTCCAAATATTCCAGGATATGGTGGTTTACGACTTTCTCCATGATTTTTGATATCACTGATAGCAAAACAACTAGTCTATAGTTATTTGGAAGATTTTGGTTGCCCTTTTTGGGAATAGGCTGAAAGTGAGCAATCTTTCAACAAGAAGGAAACTTCCCTTTATTGTAAGATAGGTTGAAAAATACTGGTGCGAGTTCATTAGCGCACTTTTTAAGTACGATGACGGGCACTTATTAGGGCCAAAGAGCTGTTTCAAAAGTCGCCTGACTAGACGTTGTCGGAAAGTAATTTCCAGCATTGTGGATTTTAATGTGGGAATAGTAGGTGTTGCCTTCCCCAGAAAATCGACTGTGGAGTGGGACGCAAATTGTTCAGCTAGTATATTTGCTTTTTCTATGGCTGTTTTTGCAATTGAACCATCCGCTTGTGTTAGTGGTGGAATTCTGGATTTTGTAAAGCTCTGATTAACAGCTTTAGCTACCGATTAATGATTACCCCAAATGTTGTTGAATTTATTTCAGTAAGAGTTATCATACGAGGCATTCGTAATTTTTACACCTTTTATGATATTCACTACTTTGATGTCCTAGAAATTCAATTATTGAAATAATCTCACAATGAAGTGTTGCTTGAATTCGTTAAGAATAACATCATATATGATAAAAATTCAACAGAAGAAATCAAGTACGAATATTAAATCAAGATCAAACTGTGTAGAAAACCCCATATAAACTTTCAAATGGCACTAAGGAGATTTTTCTTTCATTGATTATAGAGTAATAAAACACAATGTTATTTGATTTCGAGTCTGTGCATGACGATCCCGTAAATGATATAACAGACAGAGTCAGTTGAGTAATGCCAAAGTTGATAAAGGTGAATATTCTGAAAACTATTGAATGATACCAGAAATCAACTCTATACTCTGTCCATCTAAGCAAAAGAGTGCCCCAAAGCATTATCATGCATAGTGCGCGTGATCTCCCAGACAAGGCTGCTTGTACAGAGTCGCACTAAGGAACGACCGAAATTTTATTTTTTTCTTAATAATATGCTACTGGGTATAGAAACATTATTTTGGTTGAGTGTAGGACACAAATTATCAGTTTCTTCAGCCGTATCAGTACTTGACATTTTCAAAATGTTCAACTTCAAAATACCGTATGTGTACGTACACAAAACAGGCGTTAAAACTCACCACTCCGATCCTGTAGCGATATACCTGAACGAATTCCGCCAGTCGATTGCAGTTGAATCTGATTGGCCAGCGTGAGGAGGCTCGTTTATTTTACCCAATGAATGCAAATATGCATGTGATCATGCTTCGATCACGCATCTATCATTGTTTGGGTTTCTTTGTTTGTTGGATGGACAGAGTTTGTTTTTTTATTCCTTTTTTGTATGTATCTTTCTTATTTAGATCACCTTCAACTTTGAAGATATAGATACAGACCTGCATTTTTTACAAATGTTAATCATATATGATAAAAATTCAACAGAAGAAATCAAGTACGAATATTAAATCAAGATCAAACTGTGTAGAAAACCCCATATAAACTTCCAAATGGAACTAAGGAGATTTTTCTTTCATTGAATATAGAGTAATAAAACACAATGTCATTCAAATTCGAGTATGTGCATGATAATCTCGTAAATGATAGTAGAGACAAAGTCAGTTGAGTAATGCCAAAGTTGACAAAGGTGAATATTCTGGAAACTATAGAATGATACCAAAAAACAACTCTATACCCTGTCCATCTAAGCAAAAGAGTGCCCCAAAACATTATCATGCATAGTGCGCGTGATCTCCCAGACAAGGCTGCTTGTACAGAGTCGCACTGAGGAATGGCCGAAATTTTATTTTTTTCTTGATAATATGCTACTGGGTACAGAAATATTTTTCAGGTGAAGTGTAGGGACACAAATTATCAGTTTCTTCAGCCGGATCAGTACTTAACATTTTCAAAATGTTCAACTACAAAATACCGTATATGTACGTTCACAAAACAGGCGTTAAACCTCACCACTCCAATCCTGTAGTGATATACCTGAACGAATTCCGCCAGCCGATTGCAGTTAAATCTGATTGGCCAGTGTGAGGAGGCTCGTTTATTTTATCCAATGAATGCAAATATGCATGGTGATCATGCTTCGATCACGCATCTATCATTGTTTGGGTTTCTTTGTTTGTTGGATGGACAGAGTTTGTTTTTTTATTCCTTTTTTGTCTGTATCTTTCTTATTTAGATCACCTTCAACTTTGAAGATATAGATACAGACCTGCATTTTTTACAAATGTTTTATCAAAGTTTATTGAATATTCTAGAATTCTTGATATTGTTGAGAGTTTTAGCAAGATGACGATTATCAGAAAACTATGTTTTTTATTATGGTCCAGATAATCGATCTCCTGAAAGCAGTATTCAGTCTTTAGTCTAGAAATTATCGACACTTTATTATCACAAGTACCTGAAATATATTGTTTACTTCCAGTGAATTCTGAGCACGTCGTACAACCTCCAAAAGTTTGAGAAAATTTGAGCTCTTGCCCGACATCCATTTCGTTTCTAGTAATGTTAAATGAATACATGAACACTGTAGAATATTTTCTTCTGCAGGAGAAAACTTATAGTACATTAAAATAAATGAAAGAATGTGAGTAGTGGATAATGTTTTAATCATGCCCGAAAGAAAATAACGCTGGCCGCCACTGGTAGTCATAAACCAATGGTAACATAGCTACCAGCGCGCGAATGTACGATGATTCCCCGCCACTCTAGAAGCAGCGAGAATAATGCTGGTGAAAACAAGGAGTCTCGATTACGACGAAATCGAAAAGCTTGAGAAAATGTTCGAGGCTTTGCAAGCGAGCCCGACAGAGAATGAAAAACGCAGAAGAGAGGAAGATGAACGCAGAATCGAGGAAGAACGATTACGCCGAAACGAAGATCGTGAATTACTACTAGGTATTCTGGATTAACAAGAAAGAAACAGAGAGGAATATCGTAAATTATTGATAAATATTCAGAAGAAACAAGAAAAAGACACTTCATTTATTTGAAGATTTGAAATCTTCCCAAGTAAGTAAAGGGGAGGTACAGGAATTAATTCAAGAAGAATTTGAAAAAGTATTTCAGGAAACAAAGGAGGGATTGGAACAAATAGTCGATGAGAAGTTTGTAGGAGTTGAAAGGAAATTTTAAAAGAAGCTTGAAGGAATCGAAAAAAAAATTGAAGACGTTTTCCGGAAACTTTGGAAAGGAAAGAGTCACAGAAACGCAGATAGCCTCTCACAGCCTCTGACATCCGGATGCAAATTTTGCCAACGCCAGGAGGACCAGGATGCCCAGCTACCAGAAGAATTTCCCATCAGATGTGATAAGGTAGCAGGCAGATACTTCTTTATGGACAGCTTTTATAGGGAGATGAGCTCCCCTACTTCCTGCCGCTTCGAGTTCCCTCTGACCCGGAGGGTAGCAATCTGTAAGGGTCCCTTGTCCAGGGATACGGAGAGCCAATCTGAGGAATCACCTGACCATAGTGTGGTACGATCGTTTACAGCCTCTAAGGGTAACACTACCTTCCTGACAAGGCAAGACATCATCGTAGCGCAGAAGGACGATCCCGTTTTGAAAACTGTACGAGAATGAATTGCCAAAAGAGTGAGGCCGGAATGGTAAGAGATTTCGAAGCACGGCCAGCAGGAAAAGGTTTACTGGCTCCAATGGGACTCCATGAGCATTCGAGATGATCTATTTAATCGGAAATGGGAAAGCCTGGATGAAAGAACTCACAAATTCTAGATGATCCTTCCTAAGACGTATATGCCGTGTATCCTCTTACAGCTTCACGATGATTGCGCAATTGCCGTCGAGACGTGGAAGAGTGGTGAAAGCGCTGTGACCTATACTCTTCGAGAAAGGGTCCGAAAACAAGGCAGAGAGGAAAGTTGAAGCAGTAGTTCAGTGGGTGCCCTTTTGAGAGAATCGCAGTGGACATTTTGGGACCACTCCCTATGACCACATCCTGTAATAAGTACCTAATGGTTGTGATGAACTACTTCTCCAAATGGCCTGAAATAGTAGTCTTACCCAACCAAGAGCCTAAACGGTGGCAGAATCCCTACTGCAGAACGTAATTGCCAGACACGGAATACCACCCCAAGAACTACAATCGGACTAGGGCCGCAACTTCGAATCGGATTTATGGAAGGAAATGATGACTCTTTCGGGAATAAAGAAGACAAGAACAACTGCTCTTCCCTCACAATCCGATGGAATGGTCGAAAGGCATAATCGCACCATTGATAACTACCTTTCGATGTTTGTCTCCGAAAACTGGGATAAATTGGTTTTTTTTGTGTTGGTATACAGGAGCTCCCAACATGACGCCACAAGTTACATACCATCTATGTTATTTACTGGTAGGAAACTGAAGCTTCCAATAGATGTATTGTGTGGCAGTCCTTTTCATGAATCTCAAGAGGTATGTGAATGACCTGAAGGAGAGACTGGAAATTGTACACGAATTTGCCAGGACCAAATTACAGCTTTCCAGCGAGAGGATGAAGATAAGATTTAACAAAAAGTCGCTGCCAGTGAGCTTCAAGGAGGGCGATGCAGTGTGGCTCTACCAACCCCAACGTCGGAAAGGTTTGTGTCGCAAGTTGCAGAGACCATGGCAAAAACCTTACTTGATAACCGAATTTTCACCCAGAAGCAAGCCTAAAGTTGTCCACATAGAGAGAATGAATCCTTACATGGGTCGTGATGTCCCCTCTTGGAATGTTGTTCGGGGCGAACAACCTCATGGAAGGGGGTAGTGTTGTAAATCATACCCGAAAGAAAAAAACGCCGGCCGCCACTCGTAGCCATAAAACAATGGTGACGTAGCTAAGAGCGAGCGAAAGTACGATGATTCCCCTCTACTCGTGAAGCAGCGAGAATAATGCTACCGACTTCGACAGAACTTTGTCGAAATTTCTACGGCATTCGATTACGACATTTGAACGCTAGCTGCGGGCATATCGACACAGTCAGGTAGAAGCTACAGTGTGGTACGCGAAGTGATCTAGTAAGGCGATAGACATTCAAATAATAGTAAATTTTTTAGTTGAAGTGTTTGTTATATTTAAAGTGAAATATAGTTTAGTTTGATTATTTAGTGTAGTCAATTATTGGTGAACACACGGGGAAAAACGTAACAACAATATCCGGCCATGACTTCTAGGGAAACGTTCAGTAATGCAAAATACGAATCAGAGTACAAGAAAAATGCGGTGATGTTGATTTATCTTCTCAAATGGAGTCTCATAAAAAGTTCCTGAGAGAAAAATTGCAAATTCCTCAATTTATTCAAACGCTAGCTGCGAGCATATCGACACAGTCAGGTAGAAGCTACACTGTGGTACGCGAAGTGATCTAGTAGGGCGATAGACATTCAAAAAATAGTAAATTATTTAGTTGAAGTGTTTGTTATATTTAAAGTGAAATATAGTTTAGTTTGATTATTCAGTGTAGTCAATTATTGGTGAACACACGGGGAAAAACGTGACAACAATATCCGGCCATGACTTCTAGGGAAACGATCAGTAATGCAAAATACGAATCAGAGTACAAGAAAAATGCGGTGATGTTGATTTATCTTCTCAAATGGAGTCTCATAAAAAGTTCCTGAGAGAAATATTGCTCAATCCAGCAATGGAAAATGTTGTTTTTATTTCAAAAGGTACTACAAAAAAATTTGCTAATGGTTTGTTTTATTTTTAATTTCTGAATCATATTTGATTTTATCTCTCTCATCGTTTTCAGTTTGAAAAATACTGGAGACATAAAAGTAGGTATTTAGCTGATGTATTGTATTTTGATAAAGTTTTCTAACGTTTCAATCCTATCGTCCTGATTTGAACTTTTCAAGACGTTTCTGAGAAAAGTAGTTGCAAATAACAAACGTTATGTCGTTCTTAGTTCCTAAGATACTGGAGAAATACAATTACATTTTCATTGTCACCGGTAGATATATTTTATTAAGGTTAATGTTCTTCATAACAGTATATCTTTTCATCTGAATAACTTCACATATGACCTCGAAATGAGGAAAAGAAATACATTAACAATATGTCCTCGACATCTGCTCATTTTTTGAATACCGATGCATAGCCTACAATGTTAATCAAATAACACAAGAGGTTAAACTGGGACACAAAGAAACAAAATTTTCTTGAATTTCTAGAGGTTGACGAAGACAGCTCAATGAAAACAGAAGTTTGCCATGTAAAGACATTTTAGGTACTTGGAAGTTCAAGCCATACTCTCTCTCCCCTATACTAGTTCTCATGCCTAGACTCGAATCAGAGCAGACCTGTATGAGACCTATGATTACCTTGCAATGAAAAAGAGTACTACGGACACCACCAAATACAACGTAGCCGAGTAAATCCAAACTGCCGTGGCAAAGGGATCTAAGAAGGCAAACGTGTTCGTCTCTTTTTTGTCTGGATATTTGTGTAAGATACTGACGCCTTCAAAATGAAATGTCGATTAAAATCTATAAAGCTTGATGTATTTCTAAAACGAGTTGATATGTTTTGATAATGGTTATAAACACACATTTATTATATTATCAATATACAAGTGTATTGTGGAAACGATAAAAGCAGGTATTTTTTCGTTTAAAGGTGGTTGACAATGTTTCAATGTGCATTTCATTAGTTCGGACTTTCATTGTCTAATATGATATAAATTGATTTGAAATTCCCGAAAGAATCTGTAAAAAATTAAAAAGGTTAGCTGAAAAATAACAATCATATCGAGCAAAAAAAATTAAAATCACATTGAAATAAAATACAAGCAACAACCAAAAAAAAAAACTAAAAAAAATTGAACTATCAACACGTGATGAAATTTAAAAATTTATTAACAAGAAATGAAAATTAAAAATTAAAGATTCTAAACCAAGTTACTTCACGACTTTTTGATTGTTAGTATCCACCATGGTCTTCGGGTGATACCTGAACTCATTCTTCAGAAATATGACTATTCATAGATCATTCGAGTGCTTCCACTCACACAGGACAGTATCTGAACCATGAAGCCAACCACCCTCAATCGACTAAGAGAGGAATCATCAAGACTCTACTGGACCGTGCTTTCGGGCTCTGTAATACAAAGGAAGGTCTCGAAAAGGAACTAGGCATCATCAAAAATGACCTTCAATGGAATGGTCACTCCAAAGTGATGGTGAAACAGGCTTTAGCTAGGAGACAGCAAGAGCTCCACAAGGAAGAGAAGCCACCACAACCAGTACTTGTACTTCCCTGCATCAGAGAATTGTCTGAAAGGATGAGAAGGATTGGGTCCAAGTATAACATCAGAATCTGTTTCAGATCTGGGAACACTATTTGTAGAAGCCACATGGAAACCAGGCCACCAAACGCGGACTGCGATTCCAAGAATTGCTTTTTACCGAATACCCTGCGAGTGAGGAGAATCATATATCGGTGAAACTAAGAGACCATTGAAATTTCGCATTATCGAGCATAAGAACCACACACAGCAAGAAGAAACCAGCGAATCAGGAATAGCAGAGCATGTTTGGACTTATCAACATAACATCAAGTTGGCTCAAGCTGAAATCATCCACAAGAAGGAACACTGTTTTAGGAGAAAATTCAAAGAAGCATTCAGCCAAACTAGCGTAGAGATACGCAACATATGGAAACCTCTAATCAAGCGGAACACAACCAACTCCCACCAAACTGTAATTTTTCGCTAAAACAGAGGGAAGGGGAAATATGTGAAATCACTCGAATGACCTATAAATATTTAGATCTCTGAGGAATAAGTCCAATTATCACCCGAAGACGATTGTGGATACTCACAATCGAAACGTCGTGAAGTAACTTGGTTTGGAATCTTTTAATTTTAATTTCTTGTTGATAATTTTTTAATTTTTTTTTTAGTGGTAAGTCATAAAAAAAGATACATCTTTATAAATACAATCTCACATATATTCATATACTAAGTATGTGAACATATGTGAAAAATAAGAAAATAACACATGAATACATGCATTTAAAATATGTGCTCAATAACAATATATGAATTAAATAAAATTATTCAGAAATATAGTTGATGAAATGTATATCATGATTCATTGAAATTCATTATATCATGGAAAAAAATCGTGAAGTCCCTATTAGCCATTCTTCAATTTTATTTTTATATGAAAATAATGAGGCAGCTTATCAAATATGTAAGGAATCATATACATGTAGTTTTTTTCTCACAATCAGTATGAACAATTAATGAATTTTCGAATTTACATTCATAAATTTTCCACGCATTGGATTATTATTATCTGATTCTCACAGTCATACTTTTTATTCAATTATGCCGACTTTTTTTTAATGAAACACTATATTTCATCTTATTATTATATTTTAAGAGCAGATAGTTGTTGTTTCACAGATGGATCAAAAACACCTCCCGGTTCTGGTGCAGGTGTTTTCAGTCGCAGACCCAGGACAGAGTTATCTACCTGCTTAGGAACTCAGGCGACTGTATATCAAGCGGAAATCTACGCTATTGAATTCTGTGCGGAGAGATTGGATAAATCCAACCTCACTCACAAGTCAATAAAAATATTCTCGGAGTCAAGCGGCGTTGGAAGCTCTTGGCTCCCATCGAGCAACGTATAAATTGGTAGCAAACTGCCAAAAAAGACTCTCCTCGATAGGAAGACTAAACATATTGTCTCTGGTCTGGATTCCTAGCCATACTGGCCTGGAAGGCAATGAAGCTGCTGACTCTCTTGCAAAGGAGGGTGCTGCACGCGGCTTCATTGGACCACAACCTGTCATTTGCCAAACAAACACTTAACACTTGGATGACAAGAAGAGTTATGGACTTCTGGCAGAATCTTCCAGGATTGGTTCACTCCAAGTCGTTTATTCACCCTTCGAAGCTTGATTCCAAACAGTTGTTGGACTACAGTAGTCATGAACTACCATGTTTAACAGGCCTTCTTACAGGTCACTGTCATTTGAATAATCACATGCAGAGACTTGGACTGTCGGAAGACAGTGTGTGTTGCCTCTGTCTGGAAAATGATGGAATTGCAGAGCATATACTTTGTGCCTGCCCCGCTGGGGACCGAATCAGGTTCTTTGATTTCGGCAGATCCGTACTCTCACCATCTGACCTGAAAGACCACTCACCATACAAACTAATCGGCTTCGTTGAGAAGCTGGGTTTATTTGGCTGAGTGTGAATAGGTGTGAGCCACAATAAACCCTTATGGGTTGCGGTGGAGGGTGGAATAGACCCACTCACTTTAGACATACCTACCTACCTACCCTATCCACCAATTGGGAAATGTTGTATCGAGGTATTGCCGAACAATAACTTGGTAATGTGGTGGTGCTCCATCCTGCTGAAACCATATCGTATTGACTGGAACTTGAGGGTTTTCTGCATCTGGATATAAATTTGCTGAACTTGGAATGACATCATTTTGAAGTTGTGCCAAATAAGTATCGCCATTCAAGTTGCCCTCAATGGAAAAGAAACTAACCAACAATCCCTGCCCAAACATGAACCTATTGAGTGTATTGTATTGTGTATTGCGTGTGTTCTTCTCTCATCCAGTAAGGATTTTCCGCTGACCAGTAGTGGCAATTTTGCCGATTAGCATGACCGTTAAGAGACACGTAAACTCATCAGAAAACATAACGTCTTCTGATTGGATGATATTGTTATCCAACATGTCCATCATTTCCCACAAAAATAAGTTTTTTTATCAAAATCGTCTTCCATGAGCTCCTGAGTAGGTATCATTTTATAGGGATGCATTTCATTTTCTTTTAATATGGTTACTATGGATGTATGGCTAACATTGAATGTAGCGGATACCTGTCTACTCGATGTATGTGGTTTTTCCTCAAACTCAAGCATCACATCTAATTTGAGTTTATCACTCATTTTATTGGCAGCTGCTTTTTCCATCTGCCCCACATGATCAAGCTCGCGAAACTGCTTCTGTATTTTGCTTATTGTTCCTTGAGATATGGGCGGTAAATTATGAAATTTCTCATGAAATAGGCAAGCTACTTCCTGTTATATTCGGGTTTTGTCTCCGTAACCAATTATTTGTAATACTTTTATTTTATGCATTTCCGTCAATCTAACCATTTGTCAGACTTGAAGTTAACAAACTTTAAACTTGAATTAAAATACTGACAACTAATGTAGTAATATACAGAACAAGTTGACAATGCGTTTCAAAGTAACGTTGCCACTGAAATTATTTACAGTTTTTCAAAGGATACCATTTAAAAACAACATTGCTATGATTTTTCTCACTTTGTTAGTATCAATACCTCAACATGAAAGTTTTGAGTATATGGCAATAAATTTTGAGTGTATTTTATCGAATAGAATGATTCGATGTACCAGTCAAACTGAAGAAATTACTGTGTAATGAAACGCCTCTGCGTATAAAATTTTCAGTGTGAAATTTGAATTACTATCAACATGGATTATATTGGAGTCATATATTTTGATATTTTTCTATTCTTCATCCATAACATTAATCAACTTACTTTGGCAGAATATCACAACCTTGGTTCATTATAGCACCCAGAGTAGCCCAATGGCAATTTTTGATATCCCAAATATTTTCAAGTTCAGAAGGATGTTCTTCACACGGATGCGGATTTTCCCAGTCACCAGGAGTCATTCTAAAAATATTTTAATTTACAATACACAGGACAGTAAGTAAGAAAAATCTCCCTTGTTCTATTTTACTATGGTTTCATATCTTTTTCTTCAGTGAGAGTTTTTCAATAAATATGATTAGACAAAAATGATGATAAATGTTTTCTACTAGTATGTCCTCCATGGAGCCGTTGATTAGTCTGGACAAATTTTATGAACTTCAATAAGACCATTTCGAAACAAATAATATCTAGCATTAGGAAAGGTTTCTTGACGTGGTTGAAACTTACTACGAATTGCTGCTTGTAACAATAACTTGATGCATTGCACCAAAAAAATAATTCGTAGCCAATGTAGGTACTGTTATGATGTATGAATATTCATATGTTATCTGAAGTCTTTTCAAGTCCATAACTATTTTTTTATTCCACTTACGGTTTAAAGCGCCCGATACGTGTAAGTTAATCGCTATCTACTTTAATTATGAAGGATTTGCATCAAATTTTGTATAAAAAATTTGAATTAAGTGCCCAAAAACACTTAAAATGTTGACAGTGGCATACGGTGATTGTACTCTGAGTGAGAAAGATGTTTACAAGAGGTACACGCTTTTCACAGAAGGTCGACAAAATGTGAATATCGACGCCTCAGCTCATCAACTCATCAACAATCGAATAAAATATTGAGAAAGTGAAAAAAGTTGATATGGAGAATTGTCGAATCACTATTAGAGAAGTTGCTGAGGATGTCGGCATATCGTTTGGCTGACGCCATGCCATTTTTTCTAAAAATTTTGAGCATGAAGCGTGTGGCAGCAAAGTTCGTTTCAAAATAACCGTCGCATGAGATAAGCATGGCTCAGGAACTGTTGAATGAAGTCAACGGTGATCCAGATTCACTTGAAAGGATCACAACTGGTGACGAATCAAGGGTACATGTTCATGACATCGAAACCATATTCCAATCGTTCTAATGGAAGAGTCCAGGAGAGCCAAGACCGAAAAAGACACGCCAAGTTCGATCAAATGTCAACATTTTCCTCAGTGTTTTCTTCGATTACCGTGGTGCAATGCGTCAGAAGTTCTTGCCACAAGGTCGTACGGTTGGTAAGGAGTATTGTCTGGAAGCTATGCGCCCCGCCTGCGAGGAGCACTACGGTGAAAACGTCCAGTATTGTGGAAAAACAATTCATGGTACCTTCTCACTCGTAATTGCTTGTTCGTAATTTCTTGGTCGAAAACAACTAGGTAATTATGCCTCAACCACCGTATTCAGCAGATATGGCCCTATGCGACTTTCTCCTGCTCCCAAGATTGAAGAGACCCATAAAAAACGGCGTTTTACGAAGATGAAATATGAAAATCGAATCACTAAGAGAGCTCAAGTTCATACCAAAAAGTGACACAAGTGTATTATATCTGAGAGGGACTACTTTGAAAGGGACAAAATGAAAATTAATAAATAAATAAACAATTTTGGGGAAAGCTGAAAATTTGAACAGACAACCGATTATATGAATTTCTGTTAAATCAATAACTGAATGTATGAATGAAAAACGTGAAATTAATACATATCTGTTTCACATTATTTTCTATAAGAAAATAGTTGATATATGATATGTCAAATTTTATGTCTTATGTCCTTTTTTTAAGGACAAAACACAAGAACTACAGGAAAATCCTTAAGGTGTTCTTAGGGCGGTGCCTGTGCGAAATTAGCGCTTCAAATTGGATTTGAATCGCTGGAGATTAAATCCATTTGGGAAAACTTTCTCAGGAAGTTTATTCCACATAAACGCAGTTCTTCAGATGAAATAATTCTTAAACAGTGGAGTTCAAGGTGTACTGAGTTGAACCTCAAAAGGATGAGCAGCCACAGTCCGTCGCGAATTTCCGATATGTAAGCTCTTGGTGGAATCAAATGCGACAATTCACTAGATGAGAGACAAATCTCCAACCTTTCTTCGATGTTTCAGGCTATCAAGATTTCACGTGATGCTCGCGTCTCCAATCATGAGGATGGCTCTTTTCTGGATGGAATCCAGCAACTTCAGGGTATGTTTCGGGGCGAAGCTCCATGCATGAGTACAATACTCCAAAGAACGTCTGATCTGAGTTTTATAAATCATCAAAAGTTTCTGAGGTGTGTACAGTTTTCTGGTTCGGAAGGAACAGTGTTCCAAGCTTTTGAGAAGCAGCCTTTGCAATTTCAGCGACATGATTGTGCCAAGACATATTGGTGTCCATTTCAAACCCCAACAAACTTATTGAAGCAGAAAGTGGAACTGTCTGACCTGACATTATTATATCCGGTTCGGAGACATTTATCTGCTTGCAGAAAACCGATGTCTGGTTTTGTGACATTGAATTGAACCTGATTACTTTGACACCAATTTGTAGCCGATGTCCTGGAATCCAAATGGAATGACGAGCTGAGTGTGCTGTCGACAGCAAAGCGAAATATTGGATTCTTGGTGTTTTTCAATAGGTCGTTGATATACAATAAAAAGAGGGTTGGACACGATATGGATCCCTGGGGAACACCAGCGTTAATGGTGGAAGTATTTGAGAGATATCCATCGACGGCCACAACGTTCTTTCAGGAAGCTGGAGAGCCATACACAAAAATGATCCGACAAGCCATAGTATCGAAATTTGGCCAGCAAATCCCCATGCCACACGCGGTCAAAGGCCTTAGGAATATCAAGCGCAACAGCTTTTGATTCTCCATGTTTCTCGATTGCGTTATTCCAAATATGGGTAACATACAATATAAGGTCGCCTGTTGATCTCATTAGGACCTCATCAGGACCAGGCGCCTTGATGATATTGAGCTGTTTCAAAATTCGACTCACTAGACATTGTCGAAAAGTAATTTCCGGCACTCTGGATTCTAGTAAAGGAATAGTGGGTGGTGCCTTTCCCAGAAAATCGACTGCGAAGGGGGCGAAAATTGTTCAGCTAGTAGATTTGCTTTTTCTATGGCTGTTGTTGCAATTGAATCATTTGCTTGTGTTAGTGGCGGAATTGTGGATTTTGTAAAGTTCTGATTAACAGCTTCAGCTACCGATTGATGATTACTTCAAATGTTATTGAAATTATTTCAGTAAGAGTTCACAACTTCGGTGTTCCAGAAGTTTCATTATTGAAATAATCTCACAATGAAGTGTTGCTTGAATTCGTTAAGAATAACATCATATATGATAAAAATTCAACAGAAGAAATCAAGTACGAATATTAAATCAAGATCAAACTGTGTAGAAAACCCCATATAAACTTTCAAATGGCACTAAGGAGATTTTTCTTTCATTGATTATAGAGTAATAAAACACAATGTTATTTGATTTCGAGTCTGTGCATGACGATCCCGTAAATGATATAACAGACAGAGTCAGTTGAGTAATGCCAAAGTTGATAAAGGTGAATATTCTGAAAACTATTGAATGATACCAGAAATCAACTCTATACTCTGTCCATCTAAGCAAAAGAGTGCCCCAAAGCATTATCATGCATAGTGCGCGTGATCTCCCAGACAAGGCTGCTTGTACAGAGTCGCACTAAGGAACGACCGAAATTTTATTTTTTTCTTAATAATATGCTACTGGGTATAGAAACATTATTTTGGTTGAGTGTAGGACACAAATTATCAGTTTCTTCAGCCGTATCAGTACTTGACATTTTCAAAATGTTCAACTTCAAAATACCGTATGTGTACGTACACAAAACAGGCGTTAAAACTCACCACTCCGATCCTGTAGCGATATACCTGAACGAATTCCGCCAGTCGATTGCAGTTGAATCTGATTGGCCAGCGTGAGGAGGCTCGTTTATTTTACCCAATGAATGCAAATATGCATGTGATCATGCTTCGATCACGCATCTATCATTGTTTGGGTTTCTTTGTTTGTTGGATGGACAGAGTTTGTTTTTTTATTCCTTTTTTGTATGTATCTTTCTTATTTAGATCACCTTCAACTTTGAAGATATAGATACAGACCTGCATTTTTTACAAATGTTTTATCAAAGTTTATTGAATATTCTAGAATTCTTGATATTGTTGAGAGTTTTAGCAAGATGACGATTATCAGAAAACTATGTTTTTTATTATGGTCCAGATAATCGATCTCCTGAAAGCAGTATTCAGTCTTTAGTCTAGAAATTATCGACACTTTATTATCACAAGTACCTGAAATATATTGTTTACTTCCAGTGAATTCTGAGCACGTCGTACAACCTCCAAAAGTTTGAGAAAATNTGAATCTCGAAACACGCAAACTCACACCAATTACCTATTATCAACAATCAAGCCGTTTTTCTTTTTTCAGATCTGGGATGTCTCAACTACCATTTGAGATAATTGCAAGAAATTAAATCATTTTTTTTCACTTAATTGTTCATAACAGCCGTATCTTCTCCAAATGATTCATAAAGTTTTTGCATCTTATTCTTCAATTCTAATGAATTGGACGAGTACTATCATTATTGCTATTGATCATTGCCTCTTTCTTCTGACACCCAATTTCGCCACCAGCCTACTTATTTTCAGTTATTTTTATTATAACTTGTTTATACAAATACATTAGACTTGTTAGTGTATTTTGTGTAGTCACTTAATATAGATGTTCTCTCTCTTTCCAAAGAATTAGGTTGCATCAATTGATCTACTTAGGAAACACCCGTCTCCACTGAGCTAACCAGTGTTCTATCCTACCTCAAATACCGGCTTTCGGTAGAGCACTATAAAATTTTGATACGGTTTTCTTCTTTAGAGTTACGACTAATAAACTCTTATAAAATATTGGAACACTCCTTCTGACCCAGAAAAAAACCCGCAGCACGCAGTTAATTGTTTTGACACCAAAATTTTCTATTGGAAGACAAGTAATAGGCAATCGCTTACCTAAAGTCATGAAGGGCATACTGAAATCTACAACTTGCTGGCGTTGATGCGTAATTGTCAGATCGCATATAGCCAGATGTGCTTTCTAAAACGGAAAAGTTTTTGAACTCAAGGTTATTTATGGAAATAGTTTCTCACCTTATCCAAGAGATCTCCAACTAATCCATTCCATCTCTTTTTTTCTTCATCATAACTGCCATATTTGTTATTGTGAGTTAAATTCAATTCATATTTGAAATCAATAAGTTCGGCTATTTGATCCATTAAATCTTTGGAGAACCCCTCGTATCTATCATTGCCAACTAATTCCTCGCCATTTTTCGCTTCAACTTTCATAAGATACGGTTCACCTAATCTGTGAAAAAAGAAAACAAGAAAAAAATTTCATAATAACAAAAAAGACCAAAAATTCATTCATAAGATAAGAATGACGATCATTGGAATTTTCAAAAGAGGAAGTTGACTTCAGTATTGTAACATACACTCAATTTTATTGTGACACAAAAACAGTTAAAGAAATATTTGAGAAAATGTCCATATACCTAAATTCAGGAAATATTTGAGAAATCGGAGTTTCGAGTCAGATATTTAGAGCACATTTTTGTTGATATCAATAGGAATTACTGGATTTTCCATCGGTCTTCATTCCGTATTGTTGAGGTTTTTAATAATTGAGAAAAATATAAAAATGTGGCCCAAATGCAAAGGCATACATTGACAGGATGCGAATTGGCAATTGTCTCTCCATACCTGTATTATTGTCAGTTTTTCCTATACGTACATTATACACAACGGTTGGTTGAAAACTGACAAGAAATAAAAATGTTTTTTGAAAATAGCGAATTTTGCATTACCATTTGAACAGCTTGAAACGTTGAAAATTTAAAAGAGATATACAGGGCTTTTCATGATGAGCGTTAATTAGCCGTTTCTGGCAAACTATTCAACGGATAAACCTGAAAATCCCACAGTACGCATAAGTCAATATGACCTACACGCCTAAAATATTTTAGACGAAGCGGCGTCGTCGCTTCTACTATAAAGTAGCGGCTTCTTTGATTTTTCAAATGGAACACCCCGTATATAATATCATATTATGATTCATTATCACTTTGTCAA